CTCCCGAGCAAAGGTTCTCTTTCCAAACAGGTTCAAACCCACGAACGCTCTTCTCTCTAGGGAGCCTCTGGCGAGGTCTATGTTCTGTGCGTGGTGGACAGATTGGTACATGGGCGGTTGACAGTCTCTGCAGGGACAGCTCTTCAGTGAGACTTGAAGGCCTCTGGGCTGTGACACTGACCATTGTGGCTGACAGGGTACAAGCACCCTGCAGGGAATCTTCCTGCCCACTTGTCACTGGTGGACTCTGACCTGGTCCTTCTCCCGTGAAGGCAGTGGAGGAAAGAGGACACCTGTGTAGTCCCTAAGGTCAAGGCCACTTCCTCCTCCTCCTTGACCCCCTTGGTCTCCTTGCTCACGCAGAGCTACAGGGCGTCTGGGGTGAGTCTGTACCCACGGTGAGGGCCCCAGGCTGGGTTTACAGCCCTCCCCTCTAACCCTGTGGCTGTCGGGTGCCTACTCTCTTGACCAGGTTTCTGTATCTCTAGGACAGTGAGGCCCCCCACCCTGTTACTGACCAGGCTGTCCCTCCGGCAATAGGACAGTGGCCCCAGTGCCACGGTTGGTCCAGAGTGAAGCTGGTCTCCATTTGCATGGATTGGAGATTCCTCTCTCGGGGGCGCTCTGAAAGAAGTAAGCATCTTGTGTCCCCCAAAAAGGGAAGTCAGTCACCCTAAGGAATGCCTGTTGCTCGGGTGTGGCACCTGCACAGGAGCCACAAGGGTCTGGTGTGTCCTGTGCCCTCCGCCTTGGCCCCGCACTTCTGAGAGCTGGCCTGGACCTGACTCTCAGGTCCCCTTTTCCCATGCAGCTCTGCTCCACTCCAGCTGCCTGATCCGGGACTCTGTCCCTCCCTAGAGGGCGCCACATGCACCTCTCTAATTCCTGTCCCCTTTGGCTCTTCTCAACTCCAGGTTGACATGGGTGCCCTTGAGGACCCTTCCTCTGGCCACTCTCAGGTCCCCAGGGTCTGCTCCACCAGCCAGCCCTCCTCCGCACCCCAGTTCTCCCCTGTAACTCTGGGAAGTCACATACCCAAAGTAATACCAGAGCGCTCATGAGTCACCTAAAAAGAGTATTTCCGGTTTTTGTTTCTTTTTTTAAAAAATCCATTCTATTCAAAGATAAATAGAAAGAAAAGAAGAAGAAGAAGGAGGAGGAGGAGGAGGAGGAGGAGGAGGAGGAGGAGGAGGAGGAGGAGGAGGAAAACTATAACAAAATTTCAAAGCACGTCAATCAAGGGTAACAATGGTACATACACTGCACATTGTCATCCCCAAATCATTCACCCAGAGCCTTCAATTGCCTGAATAAAAACAGTTTTTTAAAAAGAGCGCTAGGTGCCCCCTCAGAAGAACTCTGACCAATCAACTTAAACCAAAAGGAAAGGGATTCTCTAATCCTGTTTGGCCCTTTCTTCCTAAAGTACACCCTGAGTTACGGTCACCATCCCATGCCTCTGGTCTGTCTGCTTGCTAAGCTGTGTTTATCACTGTGGCCTTGGGCACAGGAACTGCTGGACAAGGCTCCCTCCATGCCCAAAGTGGCAGCTGCTTGAACCAATTTCCTAATGTTTTTCTCCACAGGGATCTTCTCTGATTTTCCCCAGACTCCCCAACGCCCTCGACTAGGGGAAATTTTATTGTTTGTAGCAATACAATTTAAAGAAGGAAGATCGGCCGCTGTAGCCCTGGAGGAGAGGTGGCTATGCCCGAGGCCACCCCCTGAGGCAGTGGGGGCACTGGTGAGACGTTGATCCACACCTCTCCGCCACCCCAAGAACCTTAGACCAGAGGCACCAGGTGCCCTGCACCATGGGGTGGGCAGGAAGTGCCCAGGACTCAGCAACCTGCTGATTCAGAGGAACATAGGAAAATGTCAAGATGAAGGAGCTCCAGCCCAGCAGACACAGACACAAAATAAACTAGAGGTCACACACATGAGATTTCTGCAAAGACAGCATCTGAGGTGAAGAGACAACGCAGAGCTTATACTGTCGGATTAATTTTGCACGCCTGCGTCTGGGAGTCTGAGCAGCTATCTAAAGCATAACAATGTGCAATAGAGTAACACTGTTGATTTCCTACTGCCTGGTTTTAGAAATCCAATATCATTTTCATTGTTTTGTTTTGTGTTATTTTATTGTTTTGCTTTGTTTTAGTTTCTTTAAAGTAAAAAAATAATTAAAAAATAAAGAAATAAGAAAGATCTCTGAGCACTGGGCACCCCCCACCCCAATGCCATGGGAGCCACAGGAGGCTAAACTCCAAGCTCAAGCCTGTGGTGACTGAGTTCAGAGAAGACTAAAAATGGAAATGTCAATGTGCAGGGCAACCCTGGCAAAAGAAAAGGACAAAGGGAAGAGCCGGTGCACTGCAGCAAGCCCAAGCAGATAGAGCAGGTCAGCTGAGAGGCTGTCGGGAAGCTCCTCTCCGGGTACACCGCCTCCTCCAGGCTGGCAAGTGGCGAGCTCAGATTGACCCTGCTCAGATGGCAACAGTCAAACCGGGCCTGGTGGCGCACGCCTGTCATTCTAGCACTTGGGAGGCAGAGGCAAGAAGATTGCCATAGTGAACTCTGTCTCAGAAACCAAACAACCAAAGCAAAATGACACCCCTGCGTACACACACACACACATACACACACACACACACACACACATACACACACACACACACACACACACACACACACACGTCTTTCCTGCACCCTTTGCCTGTTAGTAAATTCTTTTTCCCACCCATGGCCTGGCCTTCTGCGATTGTCTGGAAGGACAGTCGTGGCTGAAATTGGCTGAGTAGCTCAACATCTATGTGGAACAAACTCAGGCTCACACAGGGAAGGCGCACACTGGGCGTCAAAGGCGGAGACCAGGACAGCTGGTCTCAAGGCCTCAGTCGGCCTAGAGAGCAGAGACCACCATGCAAATGTCTAGGAGGCACGATCAGGAACGCGGTGACTGCTGCCACCCCAAGGGCCATCTAGAGGAGAGGCAGGCTCCAAAAAATGCACCCTCATCCACCTTCTCACTGCATCTGGCATCCCGTGAGTCCTGGCTCTTCCTGCAAGTCACAATGACCATGAAGGGAAATGTTTTGAATCCATTCAGAACATTGAAGCATCCGGGACAGCACAACAAAAGACCCTCAGGAAAGAGGACTCCAGAGTGCTTCAGAGAGTGGCAAGAATGATGGGGCAAGTGTGCTCAAAGTGAGGGCAAGGTTTTTGAAGGGAAATAATGAGGGTTTGGCGGGGGATTGTTTTGGTCTGTTGGTGCCAGGATTCGAACTCAGGACCTCATGTTTACCAGGCAGGCGTTGCACCACTGAGCTAAATCCCTGGCCCCCTACGTCTTTTACTGTAATACATATTTTAAAATTTCAACACTGTATTTTTCAGTTACACCTTGGCTGTGCCTGTGCGAAGCATTTAATCTGTCCTGAACCCAGAGGGCAGAAACGGTGGCAAAGCCACTTCTCTGAGCAGACCAAGACAAGGTGCTTCTCGGTCTCTGCCGCAGTGGAGACTCAGTTCACTAGCCATCCAACCATGCCGAGCCCACCTCAGCCTTAGAGTTGGGCCAGACTCTGGGTGTGGAGGGGATGTGGGGCCGGGCCAGGAGGAAGAGGCTGAGTGTAAAGGGAGCCACACTTGGGAGGAAACGAGCTGACATGTGCGAAACCACTGTGAGGACAAAAGGATCCGACACCTGCTTCAGAGAGCATCCCAGCAGCAAGTGTGAAAACAGCCTAGCCTCAGGTGTGGTGGGGCACCAGTGCCTCTTGGGGAGCCAGAGGAACAGGAGACAGGCCTGCTCCAAGCCACAGCTGTACCCACCCAGGTCTCATGTGGCTCCATCGCACACTCATGTACTGTCTCCCTTGTGACAACACCCGCTGTTTTGGCCCTGCTCCCTGTGGACCCCTGTAACAGCGCACAGGGTCACTGTGGGGACATCTCTCCATCTGCATTGTCCTTCCCACTTCCCACGCCCATGGCAGCGCTTACTTTTTGGGGAGGTTGTTTCCTGTTTTTTGAGACAAGGTCTCACTCTGAAGCCCAGGCTTGCCTTGACCTCATGGTGATCCTCCCACCCCATCTTCCTGAGTGCTGGGATTACAGTTGTGCACCACCACCCCGGATCCCCTTAAAATGTTAAAGATGACAGAAGCTTCCTGGCCCCAGTATGGTGTCCCTTACCATCACCACATTGCTCCTGACCCTCTACCCAGGAAGGGAAGGACCCTGGTGAAAGCTCCCCACCCCTCAGCCTCAGCCGGGCACAAGACCCAGACACTCGGCAATGCAGGATGGGAGGGAAGGGGAGGCCCCAGTGGGCTTTGCTAGCTGGCCCTCAACTCCACGGGGGCAGGGGCACAGAGCGTGCTGCAGAGCCGGCCAGGTCGGGCCTCAGGCCTCTCCACAGCTCTCGCCCCCCCTGCTTCTGTCCCCAGACTTTCCCCCACCCCCAGTTCCTGACCCTTTCCTCTCACTCCTCCCCCTCCCTTCCTTCTGCCCCATGTTGCTCTGATCTGTCTCTTGCTTGTCCGTCTTATCCTCTGGACCAACGTCTTTCTATGACTTCCCATTTCTGTCACCAGCTTTCTGGATTGTCTGCCAGTCTCCTTAGTTCTCTAGAGTGCCCCTTCGCCAGGAGTGCTACCTGCCTCTCTATATGAGATGCCGTAAGCCCTGGTTCCCAGCTGGGGATGATAGCTCTAATCCCAGCACTTGGGAGGCTGAGGCAGGAGGATCATCACAAATTCAAAGCAAGGCTTTGAATTCACGGGCATTCAAGGCCAGCCTGGACACCATAGCAAGAGCCCATCTCAAAAACAAACAGTCTTGGTTCTCCAGTGGCCCCCAAACCAGACCACCCCTGTCTTCCCAGCATTGTCCCCCATCTTGTTCCATCTTTGCCCAGCACCTCTCTGGTTCCCCACAGGCTGCCCGAAGCCAGCCTCCCCTGTCCCCTTAGCGCCACCCAGCCGCAGGCTTACCCATGAGGCAGCAGCACAGGCAGCTTAGGAGCACCCAGGGCTGTCTGGTCCGGGGAACCCCCCTCATCGCTCTGCAGGGACGGGACTCGACTGCGGAGAGGAGAGGAGAGGAGAGGCCGGCTGTCCCTGCGCCCGCTGCTCTCTCAGGTGAGGGAGGGAGGGCGGTAAGTACCAGGACAAAAGAGGGCGGGGCCCATGCCAATCACCCACGGGCTTTTCTTCCTCCTTTCCCTCTCTTCTACCAGGAAAAAAAGTTCTGATACACTCATTGCTCCAGGCCCTGCTGGCTGGGCCGAGGGTGGGGGGGAGAGAAACCCCAGATGGCCACAGCTATAGCAGGAGAGGCTGAGTCCCTTCAGAAAGAAGGCAGGGACACAGGGACGACGAGGCCAAGGTGAGTGAGGGCTGTGTGAACAGGGAGTGAGTGAGACCTAGAGGCACCCTGAAGAGCAGGCAGGTGCGAGCCAGGCGTGGCAGCACTCAGGAGGCTGAGGCAGGAGGATTGTCACAAGTCTAAGACCAGTCTGGGCTACATAGTGAGTTCAAAGCCAGACTGAATGACACAGAGAGACCTGTCTCAAAAACAACAGCAAAACCAAAATGAAAAACTTGACTGTGGGAGGAGCCGTTGGGGTGAGGGGAGGAATGCAGGCAGGTTGTGTGCGGACCGGGCTGCGGGCTCCCCCTGCTCGTGTGGCTGACCCTCTCTTTCATGGGGAGACTGAGGCCACCAGGGAGAGCAGCTGGGTGGGTCTGGCTCCAGTAGAGTCTGGGTGCAAAGAGGAACAGTGACCCAAGGGAAGATAAGGGAAGCTCTGGAGGCCTTGGAGCTCAAGTCACCCCCATTTTGACCTGTTGGGACTCCAAGGCTCAAACAGGAAGGTTGGGGACCCACACAGGGTGAGGCAGGAAGGGCTATGGAGCAGGCAGGTTGGTGCAGCCACAAGAAGGAGAAGATGGTGACTCCTTCACCCTAGAATCTCCGCTCCTGACACCCCAAGATTGAAGTGCCCAAGCATGGTGTCTGCAGGGTGGCTGGTTTCCAGACTTCGCAGGCCCCAGGTGAGGACCCAGTGCTTCTGCACTCCCAGGCCAACCCAGGCTTGGCCCGAGGATGGGAGAGCCGGCATGAGGCCACCTTAAAGGACCTGGGTGCCCTGCAACCTTGTTGACCATTTGCCTTCTGAAGAAGCCCAGCCATGACCCAAGCTGAAGGCGGGGCCTTGATGTTGTCATGCTCTGTCACTACTTGGGGCAGCAGCACAGTGTCCCCCAGCCCCGCAGGGACATGGTGAGTCTGTCCTTTCTTGGGGACCAGAGAGACAGAAGGTAAATAGAGACTGGGGCACAGAGAGTAGGAGGATGTCACCCACGAGATTCACATGGTCCCCAGACCCAGCCAGGCCTTCAGCATCATTGCTCTGAGTTGGCTCTTGCTTGGCACCCTCCCTGTTAACTTGTCATCTGATGGCTTTGGTGACACTAGCTAGATTGGTTTCCCATCTATCGGCTGCAAGATGTCAGAGGTGAATATCTGGTCAACCCACCACAGCTGCCTCCCACTTCCCAGTGCAGGGAGGCTGGAAACATCTGCCAGGGGCCATTCTAGGAGCTGGGACATGTGGGCATCAGGGCCGCTGAGCTGAGTCTCACTCTGCACCCATGCTAAACTATAGCTCCTTTGGGCTAGAAGACAGAAATAACACTGACCCAAGGGGTCATAAGGCTAAAATGAGCTCAGAGATGTTCACGTGCTTGCAGAGGTTAAAATAGCTGTAAGAGCATCACTTTGTCCTGACACCACACCAAAAGGGGCATACAGCTGAGGCCAGCTCGGGGAGGAGGAGTCACCTCTGCATGCATTTCCAGGCCTGTGGACCCTTTGGTACTGGAGATCAGGCCCAGGGCCTTTGCACTGAGCTACATCCACAGGCCTTTTTATGTTTTATTTTGAGACAGGCTCTAAATTGCTTTAGGTTGGACTGGAACTTGCAGTCCTTCTGCCTCAGCCTCCCAGAGTGCTGGAATTGTGTGCACCACGTTCCAGCAGGTTTTAACGATATTTTGAAGGAAAACCAGGGACTTGGACAAGGCCTGTGCCAGCCTTTCTCGCCTTTTCTCCCCACCCCCACCTCTGCTTTTTCTTTGAACCCACTTCCTTCTCAGCTCACACAGTCCCCAGGGTTAGGACGGGTCTAGATCTCTGTGATGAGTGTCCCTGCCTCCATCTGGGTAGATCCTGGGACATCTGTTTGTTTTTCCTTCACTCCTAACAGGGACAGGGTAGGTTGTGGCTTCTCGGAGCTCTGCCCTGCAGGGATCTTCTAGGCCCATAGACTGCTGGGCTTACACGACAGGAACCGGAAGTCAGGTTTAAATCCGTTTCCCAGGGACAAAAGGAACTCAGCCTGGAGCTCAGCACAGGGCCTACCGTGAGTTGTTCCCGTGGTAGGAAGACAAACCAGCTGGGACTGAGCTCGCAGAGTCAGGCTCTTCAAGGGACAATTGTCTTCCAAACCCTCAAAATGGGAGTCTGGTTTCTTGGGGTCCCCAACATTGCCTACCTCCTCATAACTGACCCCTTCATACAACCTTATGCTACTGATCAAGTTATTTCTGGTCACAGTTTTGCTGCCTAGTCTGAGATGGGGTGGGAAGTCAAACTTTTTAAAAATCAGATTTATGTAGGAAGTCTTAAATAAACAGACTCATAACTAATGGGGGAAAAAAGAATCAAATGATATCATGTACAGGTACAAATTCCCTATAATGAATGTGGCAGCCATCAAAGTTAGCCTGACTCTCAGCTTTACTGGAAAGGTGGAATGGTTTGGGAGAAAGGTACTGTTATGGGTTAAGAACTGGTGGTCAATTTAAGGCCAGCTGGATTACATCAACATGGCACTAGCATAGATGTTTCACCTGAGGAAAGTTGCTGGCATCAATACAGATGTGGAGAAGGAGGCATTGAGGGGTTGAGGCATTGTGGGTTCTCCTGGAGAAGCTCTGGTCCTCACATCGAGCATTGCTTCCTGACTCCGGAGGGGAAAAGGTGTGCCGCATGGTCTCCAGGATGAACTCGTCATGCTGGCTTCCTGGCTTGTACCTGACTGTGCTTGTCGGAGGAGGAGTTCGGGGCCTCCATGTCGCTGAGGGTGGCTGTGGTGCTTTTCAGGACAACCCTGGTCTTTGTTGTGAGTGAGACGTCTCAGCTCTAGCGTTAGAACCCTCATCCCACCAGCACAGCTCCTTCACCCGGCTGGCATGGACTTTCTGGCTTCCACCGCTGACCTTTGGGCCTTCCCAGCACAGATCTGTGCTGTAAAAGAGACTGGCGTGAGTCCTTCTTGTGGGCTCTGGAACTCCAGATGGACACGTGGGAGGCATTGACTTGGGTTCTGAGTCTTCATCTGGACTCATGCAGGACATTGCTGTGGGATCCAGGCCCTTGGCTAAATATTCTATGTCTTTAGTGTTGTGGATAGATTTCCTGCATTTTCTTGTGTTAATTCTGGGTGCCCATCATAAAAATAATATTATAAACTCCATGTCCTGATTCTAATTCTTCTCCTCTCAACCCCTGATTACAACAGATACCATGTTTTAAAGAGAGAGAGATAGAGAGAGAAACAAAAATATCCCCATACTAAGACTTGTTAAAAAAAAAAAAGACCTGTAACTGGAGTGTCGGGCCCAGGTCCCACGTGAGAAAACAGTATATGCGGCGAGGTAGTGCCTGCCTGTAACTCCTGCACTATGGAGGCGGGAGGCGGGAGGCGGGAGGCGGGAGGATCACCCTAAGTTCAAGGTCAGCCTGGGCTACATAGCAAAATGTTGTCTCAAAAGAAAAAAGAATACAGACCAGAGGGGTTGGCGTTGCCACAGGCGGCCCCATGGCCAGATCCCTAGGCCGGGGTACAGTGTGTGTCATTTCTACTGCAAAGCAGGGGACCCAGGTGACAAAGGGGAAGTCCCTCGCTCCAGGAAGGCAGGGCCTAGCACGGGGCCCACACAGCGGCCATGACTTCTCCCAGGATCCGGTTCCTGGCCCTTTCCTCTTCAGTGCACGCATTTCTTGTTTCACCTCAAGAGGCACAGGCCCAGCGCCCACCCAGTCCCATCTCCCGGAGGACGGTGTCCCGGGGTCCCCGTAGCGGGCCATCCTGGTTTGGAGCCAGGCATCTTGGCTCATTCTATTCATCCAACCTTGAGAAGTAAATGAAAGCGCAGAAGTGAGCCCAGAGCAGAGTGGAAGACTGAGACTGGCTACCTGTGTCACCAGTTGTGGCCTCACCTCCTAAAACCCGAAATAAGAAAAGGGTCCAACTTCATTTCAGAGCCAGAAGAACCCCTGGCAACCGTGCAGTCCAATCCTTGTACCGGGTTGAGGTGCGGGCCCAGAGAGCAGAGAGAGCATCTGGTTTACACAGCGGTCATCGGGCTCTGGACCTCGAACTCAGCTCTCCAGGGCTCTTTCTGTGTGGCTCCTGTGCCACCTGGGATTTTATCCAGATGCCTTCACATCCTCCTGGGACCCAGTTTCACCCAGAATTACTTCTCTTAATTGTTTGATAGATTATTCCCTTTCTCCCAGGAGTAGGGCATTCACACAAATTTCTTTCTTTCTTTCTTTCTTTCTTTCTTTCTTTCTTTCTTTCTTTCTTTCTTTCTTTCTTTCTTTTTGAGACAGAACTATGTTGGTGGATCTCAAACCTGTTAGCTCAAGCAATTCTCCTGCCTCAGCCTTGGGAATAGCTGGGACTTCAGGGATGAGCTACTGCCCCACCTCCGCTTCATAAACAACATCATATTAGTGGTATAACTTATATTTTTGCTTTATCATCTAACTTTAAACCTAGACATCTCTTCAATTATTATAAACATTTCATTTACACATTTTTGAAAACTGCAATATTTCATGAAGTGTCACCATTTGCATTGAGGGCCGCCGTAACTTGGGCAGACACTTGGGTTGTTTATAGTTGTCTTTCTTTAAGTATGGCAGAGATAACATTCCTTGTACCAAAAGTGGTTCACTTCGTTGAGCAAGAATTGGGCCTGAGGTGTTTCCTTCTTACTAGCAGGAAGTTAATGAACATAAATTGACTTAGTCTAGGATATAAACTT